GAATTTAATATGTTTGGATTGCTCTTCATTTTAAATTGTTGTAAACTTCACTGAGCGTGTGGTAATTGAGTGGTGTATAAAAATCAGAAATAAATAAGAAAGGTGGGATATGAAGGTAATAATGTCTTGAGTAATATTCCTCTAGTGCTCAGAAAGCAGAAGATAATGAAGTAGCTTGGTATTCCTTTTCTTTAGCATATTTTGCTGTGGCTCTCCTGACTGGTAAAAAGTTGTTTTACTAGTGGCCCAACTACTCTTCAGCCAAAGAAGATTCCACATTAATCTTCCAAACGTGACCTGCTACAATTGCTGAGTCAGCCACTAGTAGGAGGAGGGGTGTCTGCAGTTTAATGTCACCTGAATGTTTTCATTTTTAGAATAATTTCTGTGTAAATGTATACTTATTAAACCTTACACATAACAATAACAAAGTCTGAGACAATTTTAAAAGCTTCCCCATACAAACAAAAAAGAACATTTATGTCCTGATATGGTTTCTCATTCTTGCTTCCTGGGAATTGTGAAATTGCATAAGTGGTAGGATTATAAATATTCCTGATTTTCAGTTATACACAGTTTAATCAAAGCCAGTAAACTAATCACATGTAAGCTGATCATGAAACATTTTTCTAGCCCAGCAGCTATATTACATATGAAAACCAGAATATTTGTTTCAATTGTACTGGGACATGATATATTGTTAGCATAATAGAGGTTGACCATGAAACCTATGTGTTTAATTGCTAATATTTCAGAATGACAGTTTTCTTTGAAGTGGTAAAGTTGGTCTTTCACCAGATGTTCAGCATGAGTGTAAAACAGCTTACCATTAGATGCAATAAAGATCAAAGGAAAATTACTTTAAGGAGGGCTGTTATTTGAGTGAAATGAGCAAATTTAATTCTTAAAAAGTATTTAAAAGGCTAAACAAGCAAGCAAGACATTTAATGGATTCAAGGGTGAATTGGCACATGGAAGAGCAAGAGTCATCTGATGTTTTGAAGACTTAATATTTCTATGTCACATTTCAAGTTCTCAAAGCACTTCCCATACAGTTTCTCAGTAATCATTACAATTGTGCAGTATTGTTTTATTGATCTTACAGAGGGGAAGCTGAGATGGACAATACAGTGGCTTGCATAAGGCCATCTACCACATTTGGGGTTGAAGAGAGATTTCAGCCAAGCACATCTTGGTTCAGAGTTAAGTCTCGTGCAGCTTAGTCCTAGACATGTATAAACGGAAGTATAACGGCCTAACTCCTAAACTTTGCCAAGGGATTTGCACGAATGCCTGAGGGCTAAATCTGCATAGGAAGATGGGACTGAGCATGTTGGACCTGCTACCAGTCTCTCCATGCATACTAGCATTTACCTCCTTAGTCTTCACTCTTGTTCCTTTTATCCTATTTTATTGGGATCTGTAACCACATTGGGAGCTCAACTCATGTTCAAGCAAGCGAGAATACAATACCCTTACAGATCTCTTGCTCAGCTTGGCAAAATTGGAAAGTCAAGCATAGGGATGTGTGAATCAGCAAAACCTGAGCTTACTGAAGTTCTCCAAATTCCATCTTGATCCTTGCTCTTAGTATACTCTATATCAGATTGTAAGGTTTGTTTTTCCTTTTCACAAGAAACTCCATGCAGATTTTGGTGTAGATTTTTCCAGTACAGGCGTCAATTGTGCACATGCTTTCAAACATTTTTTTTTGGGGGGGGGGCACGAGTCACATAAGAAATTCAGAAATGCACAAACTTTGACCACAGATTACATCTGAGTCTGTGTTCACTCTAATGAGCTATGCTGACATGAATTGCTCATACATTCCTACATAGTGTGTGTAGACAAGGGCCTATGTGTGGCCCTCACACATCGTCACCATTAGACTCCTGTACAGGATTGAGGCCTTAGCTATTTTACCACAACTAATAAGAATTTATTGCCACTTGAAAGATAACCAGGTAGAATGATAGCAATGATATAAAAAGAATTCAAATGACACCATAAGAACAGAAGCAGCTCGAGTACATTAAAAATTAGTAAATGAAAACAGTTTGATCAATCAATGGAAAGCAAGCCATGAAATATTGTGGGCTTTCATGAGGTTAACAAAAGTCTACTGCACACACACAAGCAGCCTTTACTTCACAAGTGGAAAGAATGCTACAGGGTGGTGTAACTTGGTGTCCTGCAACAGCAGGGGGTTGGACTTGATGGCCTTCATGACCCCTTCCAACTCTACTATTCTGTGATTCTATGAACCAAATAAAGTGCAGGGAAGTCCTATCTAGTTGTTCAGATGCAATTTATATTTTATTTTTTGGCAGTGCATGTTAAAAGAATTTGTGTAACAAAATATGAGCGAGTCTCCCCACAGCTGCTGCATATTATTACTCCCAAGTTACCTATGCAAGCATAGAAAATTACATAAGCTATTATCTTCTGGGACAGGTCTTATTATTTTTCTCCCTCAAGTCCTGTAGATAGTGATCTTCATGTTTTCCATAGGGTCAGCTTTAGGCATTGACATCACAGAAACTTATATTTTATATCTCTACATCCTCAAAATATAATAAATTGGGTACAGAATACAAAAGAAGCAGGTATTGAAAATATTAGATCATGTAAATATCCATTTTGGCAGAAAGTGTACAACAATCTTGTGACAAGTAAAGACACTGTTGTTTCTAGTACATCAGATTTAGGGAACAAACTCATGGGCCCTAGACATTGTCGGAGCAGGGGGAGTCACAGGGTTATTCAGATTCCTAGCTCCCAAGTAAGACCAACATTCTACTGTCAGTGCTGTAATTCATAGCTCCAGCCATGTTCTCCCAACCATTATGGAAAGAATGCATTCCTGGTTTTGTAAGGTTGGGAAAGCAATGTTGGAGCAGGGGTGTTTCAGGGTGCATGGAGGGGAGAAGCCTGGAGTGGTCAACTGGAAGCATCCTGAAGCTACCTGAGTCTCCTTCCTTACCTTTTTCAGACACCATCACTGATAGCCACAAACAGCCATGAAGCTCCCCTCTTCTGCTTCTCCCACTCCATACTGGATAAGTGTGAGCATCTGAATTCAGAGGCTTACTCTCACCTCAATTTTAAATTATATTTTCTAAGCAGTTTAAATGCCATAGAACCATCAATTTGTTTAGATAATGGTTGTAGTTACACAACCATAATCACAAGGAGTAATGCACAAGAAGTAATAAAATTTAATGCTTTCTTGAAAAAAACCATGTTTTTGATATTTGCTGCCATTGTCAAAGATTTTTAAAAATAAGAGAAAGCACAGAGGCCATATCTTTAGAATATCAGCTGAAAGTTACCACTTAGTGATTTGTGCTACATTACTTCTTCAGAACAACAAGGCAACTAGAATCCTATCTGTCTTGGAAGGTCTTTATACCAACCCCACCCCATTTCTATGGCAAGTACATCCTAATTAGCTTCATCCTTGAACTAATTTGTTGGAGCCCCACATTTTCTTTTTTTAAACAAGTTTTATTTGAAATTAAAATCCTAAATAACAAAACTACAAACTACAAACAACATCCATCATCAAAAACATCGAGCCCGCTGGGTCAGCCCACACACCCTTCTTTTTCCATTTATGATAACTTAAAAACATATTTAAATCTATGTAAAGTCCCGTTTCTCTAGCAATAATAAAGAGTCCCAAGTTTGATAGAAGTCAGTATCTTCCTTCTCCTTCAATGATAAAGTCAAACTATCCATTTCTGCACAGTTCAGGATCTTTTTTAGAATCAGTTCATCGGTGGATAGTTCTTCACTTTTCCAGTGATGAGCAAATGCAACCCTCGCCGCAGTGATTACATGTAAAATCAAATACATTTCTTGTTTACTAATGTCCTCTGGTATAACGCCTAATAAAAAAACTTCAGGTTTAAAAGCTAAAGGTTTTTGTAACATTTCCTCAAGCCATTTATGTATTTTAATCCAATACTTTTTCACATTATCTCAAGTCCACCACATATGATAAAAAGTACCCAATTTATGTTTACATTTCTGGAGCCCCACATTTTCATGCATCCTTCCCTGGGCAACTGATGGACTATGGCTGCGTACTGTTTTTTGCCTTTCTGTGTTTTTTTCTTATTCTTAATTCCTGTTTTCTATCCCTTCTGGGAGAGTTGATCAACATGTCTGTTCACTTATGATGTAAAACTGCTTAAGATGAAGCTTTTGTAAAACTTCAGAATTACTCTCATTGATAGACAGCATGTTTTACAGCATGAGTCTACAGAGTTACTGTATTTTTCTGTGTATAAGATGATACTTTTTCTTTAAAATATTTACCTAAAAATGGAGGGGCGTCTTATACATGGGGGGGCCGAGAGGAGAACCATGGACGTGCTGCGTGATGGGTGCAATCGTGGGTGCAATCAGGGGGAGACTGGTGCAGGCGCAGGCACACTTGGGAGGAGACTGTCATGATTGCAGGTGCAATCGGGGGAGGCGGGCACAGGAGCGTGTGTGTGGGAAGGCGGGGAGGTGGCAGGTGTGTGCATGCAGCAGCAGCAGCTTGCTTGCTCAGAGATCAATAAGAAAAGTGGGGGACGTCCTATACATGGGGGCGTCTTACAGTCGGAAAAATATGGTAATGCCCAATTAAGGGAATGCCATTTAAGATACTGCAGAGCTGATTTTATTTATGGAAAATGTCCTTTTGCTAATAAAGAAAAGAGAGAAGAAAAAAAAGAGAGATTTGCAGTAATTCTAATTAATGTGTTAGATATCAAGAAAAATCTGCGACATAGGACTCCAGAAGGTTTATCATGTGTCATTTGCTCCAGCAGCTTGATTACTTAATACTTGTAGAATACTTTTCCCCCTGTCTTGCAAGGCCAGTATTCTTTGTAGTCTTGCATGGGTAATTAATTTTAAATCTTATTTTTTTAATTTACCTTTTTAAAATAGCTGCACCATCAATGGGAAGTTGTACAATCTCATGTATCTTTCTATTTTTCCCCAAGGGATATCAATACATTAGCAAAGAAAGGTCATGCTGTGGGAAGTGTATGAAGACTATGTGTGAAGAGACAACACTTCACTTTCGGGGAGATGGAGATGTTGTCCGTTGGCATGAAGTAAGTCACAGTTTTAAAGGAGAGAAATTGACTGGATTTGCACAATATACTAAGCCACTGGAGTGTAACATGTCACATGAAACCCCTTGTTTATAAACCACCCCAAGTTGCCATGGCTTGTTCTAGAATTTTGGCTTAGCATTTTGGCTTAGGTTTTGGACCTGTGGTTTAGCATGTCATCTGAACCCGGATAACAATGTAAATCATAGTCAAACAAAAGAATAAACAAAAAAACACAAATCCTTCAACAGTGGCAAAGGTTTGCTGGCTGCTCTGTTCCATCTCCTTCTCAAACTCCTCTTTGGACTTGAGGTAGAGTAGGTTCATGGCAGGCGAAGAGTCCACTCAGCATTCATTCCTCGGGAGGAAGCAACCAAGCAGGCCTTTTCTGCCTGCCCCTCAGCTTGACTTTTGCTTTTGCTGGTCAGGCTGTGATGATGTCAGTGCCATACAGAATGGCTGTTCCCTCAATACAGATGGTGAGAACTTCATGAGTCGTGCTGTGGGGCTGATCCTGCCAGTCACCATTGGAGCCCTCTCTCTTCTGCTCAACTGCCAGCAAACTTCTCACTAGCTGAGTTGTGGAGGAATGATTCTGCATGCAGTTATGGACAGCAGGACCAACCTCTGCCAGTGCAGCCCTTCCTTTCCCCTTTCTTAGCTGGAATCCCCTGCCAAATGTAAGCCGAGGATGGACCTGAAGTGAATATATCCCATGTGTCTACTTTTTCTTCTGGTATCAGAGGCATAGTTGTTGCATAAAAGGCAGTGATTGTTTTGTCTTTTGAAGATTGAGCAGTTACACAATTAGTTACATGAATCAGCTTGGTACTAATGCTTCTGTACCACTGATTTCCTCATTTACTTGAGGCAAGAATTGTAAGAGAATGAAGCAAAGGCACCTTCTGATTTTCCTTCCCGAGCAAATAAGGGTGACTCCTTTATCCATCTTGTGCTGCATCACTATTTCAGAATGGATACCTGTTTTTTATTTTTATTGTATTTTTGCTGCTGGCTTTTCCATGTTGTCTTGTTGATTTTATTCTGAATGACTGTTTCTGCATTTCAAATGGTACATTGTGCTGGATATTGCAATTAAATTTGGGAGGAATACACAATGCTACTTTCTTCTGTACTGCAGTTCCCTGCACAGCAAGCATGTTTTCATTTGGAAAGGCTCCTTACAGATTGTGGTCTTAATTCATCCAGCAGGTGACTAGGCTAGATGACCCCCAAGGCCACCCACTAGCTCAGTGATTCTTGATGTCACAGTGGGTTTAATACAGTGGAGTTAACTGTACACTTAGCTCTCCCACTGAAATAAATAAGTCTTTAAAATATTGATTTTGGCTGGATTTGGCTCATAATTGTTGCATTAACCCTGCAGTTCATCATCTTATTACCATTTATACACTTCATGTCATTTAGAAAAGATTGTTTTTTACCTTTTTGCTTTAATAACTTGTGATGGTTTAAGAATCAATGAAAACAAATGAAAATAAATACAAAATTAAGAACAAACTAAATCAGAATAATAAACTAATAGCACAAAGAATCAAATGGGGAATGAAGATGAAGCCAATGGAATCTGCCTGAGGGGAGAGTTGCAATCCAGCCCTCCTACAGAAAATGCTGGTGATCTAATCTCTGAAAGCAGAGGCAGGCAGAGAAGGGTTCAGAAGAACGTCATGGATAGATTTAGATCGGAGCAGGCGGTTCTATGTCTTACGGCAGACTTTAACAGCCAGTTTCCTGGAACCCTACGGTCCCATGAAAGGTCACTGGTAAACATACATACATACATACATAATGTTTTCACATTCATGTTTGTGAAATATATTTTATTTATATATGTGTGTGTGTGTGTGTGTGAACATGAGTTATTTAATAATTTCAATAGTCTAAATAGCCATAATAATAATTGTTTAAATTAATTGGAAACAAATGGAGCAAAATTGAATAAATAGCACATTGTTACTATTTTAAGCAGGGTTTCCCTGAGACATGAAAATTATTTCAAGAGTTCTTCCAATGTGAAAATGTTGAGAAAGGCCATCCCAGACTATTTGGAGTTTTCTATGTCCTCCCTAATTATGTGGGTAACTGCTGATTTTTGATACTGAGGAAGGTGGCCTTCCATGGCAAGTCCCTTTTACCAACCCATAAAACCATGGGTGCTAAATCCTGGACTTAAAACTGTTAAAAGCAAATGCAGCACAATAATGAAACCTGAACATTACCAGGTCATAGAATTGTGGTGGGAGGATCTATTTTCAGGAAGGGATGCTCCTGCTAAGTACATCATCCAAGGTTTGTGAAAGGAATACCACACTACTAGAAATTGGTACTTTAGTGAAAGGCAACAAAGTACTTGTTGAATATTGTCTTCAGATAGCTCATCAGCCAACAGTACATCCACCTTCTGAAATACAGTTTATTATTTATTTATTTAGAAAATTTCTATGCCGCCCCATTCGCCGAAGCCTCGGGGTGGCTCACAAAACATCAATTAAAATATAATACACTAAAAATATAAAACGAATTAACAATATAAAATAAGTCTGCATTTGACCTGCTACTCAAAACACCTGTTTAGGACATCCACCTTTACATTTGTTCAGCTTACAAGGGGCATTATTGAGTTTCATACACATGATGGCACCTCAGCCCAAATTCCTGAAGTAGTTGACTACATTTTCAAGGTATCTTTCAAGATATCTGGGTTTACCCCTTATCATAGAGGCATAACTATTTCATATACCCAACCAGCAATTATTTGGCTACTTTCTAAAAGCCAAAAATCAAACATAAAAGTAATATATAGCACCTCTTCAACCACACTGTTTGTATCCTGTTAAAGATATGGCTAACTTTAGAGTCACTAAGTGAGGAATGGTTTAATGGGAACTAATTTGCCACTTCCACATCCAGGAATTTTCATTAGAGGAAGTATCCCTCTCTCATGCATAGGCTGTCTCTCTTCTAGCCATGCTTACTTCCAGTCGATTCTAATGAACTTCAAGCTGTGCTTGCATGGTTTAACAGGCATTCAAAAATACCAGATGTTGTGTGTACAAAACCCCTACTGTTTTGTTTGATATAAATAGTCTAGATGGTCTTATAATCTTAGCTAGATTTTCTGCATCAGACCACACAGCAAGCAGCCTTGCAGCTTGAGTTTGTTAGTGGTATAGCTTCTGTGTGCCTTTGCTATGATATACTAAGGCAGTTTCCAACACATTCAACATAGACTTACTATCTTTAAAGAGGTGGGAAAGGGGGATCCAGAAAATGCAAGTCTGGTCAGTTTGCATCAGATAGCAATGAAGGTATTACTGCAGGTTATAAAGCAGTGATATAATCATTTCAGTAACACTGAAGTGATGATTAGCAGAAGCCAGAATGAATTTGGCAAGAATTAATCTCAGCAGTCTAATCTTATCTCTGTTTTGACTGTGTTGTTAGTTTAGTGAATGTACAGACAAAATCTTGGTTTCAGCTAAATAACATTTCTCCATGTTATTTCATTTAGATCACTGGTTAAATGTGGTTGAAATTATTAGAAAAAACATACTTAAAGAGCACTCATCAGTAGTTTCTCATCAATCAGGAGTGAAATTTAGACCTGGATTCTGCGGAGCACAGCAGTGGGTCTACTATGCTACTACATTTTATTATTAAGAGGAGAAGGTAGAGGGAATCTTTGTCAAATTTGCAGATCACACAAAAGTGAGAAAGATAGCTAACACCTATGGGGGCCACCGGCTTGAGGGACTGATAAGGCCGCACTCAGCCACTGCAAGCCCTTTTGGCTCTGGCCTATTGGCAGAGGCAGAGGCTGGGAGAGAGCAATGAGTGGCCAGGGGACTGGCGAAGGCAAGGTAGGAGCTGGGCAGTGGAGCAGAGGGCCAGGAGCAGCTGAGAGGAAGGAGGCAGGGCCAAAGAGGCTAGAGGGACCAGGAGGAAGCAGAGGGGTGGGGCGTCATCCCTTGTCTACATCCCTTGTCTACATCCCTTGGCTACGGCCCGGGCACTTCCCTGAGACATAGAGGTTTGATTGTTTGTTTGTTTGTTTTGTTTGTGCTGTGCTGTGCTTTGTTTTTCTTCCAATTTAAATTTAAGTTTATTTTATCCGTGTGTGTGTGTGTGTGTGAGTGGGTTTTCGTCTGGGATAACTGGGCGAATGAGAGGAACTACAGAGCTCACAAGACAGGGGACCAAGGTAAGGTCTCAGAAGGGATACCGATGGCAAACCAGGAGATGGCCTTGGCAGGAGTCACAGGTGTTGCTGTCCGCTGCGACAGCTGCGACATGTTCGCCCTTCTCCCCCAGCAGAGGCAGGGATACACTTGCCCTCGGTGCAAGATGGTGACCCTGCTAGAAGAGGAGGTGAGGTGCCTGAGGGCCGAGAGAGCTCTCCAGCCCCCCCCCGGAGCAGCCCCCCTCTGGACAGAGGGTTGAGGGAGAGGCCACGGGAGGAGCAGCTGCAGAGACATGGAGGTATGTCACCCACAGGAGGAGGAGGCCAGCACGGCCACCTCCTTCTCCTGGCACCAATCTGGAGCTGGGAAACAGGTTCTCTCCACTTGGGGAGGCTGGGGCTGATGAGGCCTCAGGGGACCAGCAGGACCCCCAGCCTGGGATGTCAGGCGGCAAGGGGGCTGCTGCAGGAGAGGCGAGGGCCAGGGCATGGCCGCCCACCAGCACCGGGAAGGTACGGTGGCGGGTGATTGTTGTTGGGGCTCCCTGCTGAGGGGCACTGAGCCGGCAGTGTGCCGCCCCAACCTGGAGACAAGGGAGGTTTGCTGCCTGCCGGGTGCATGCTTCTGGCATGTGAAGGACAGAGTGGAGTGTCCTGTTCACTCCGGGGGTCACCAGCCACTCCTGGAGATCCATGTGGGCACAAATGATGTGGCCAGGCAGGGTGTGGTTGGGACCACCAGGGACTTTGAGGCCTTGGGGAAGAAACTCAGGGAGCTGAAGGCCCAAGTGGCCTTCTTGTCAGTCTTACCTGTCTGGGGATTTGGGCCAGGCAGGGACAGGAGGGCCTCCGAGGTGAACGACTGGCTTAGGGTGTGGTGCCAGAAGGAACACTTCGGGTTCCTCGACCACGGCACTCGTTTTCTTGCCAATGGACTTCTGGCAAGGGACGGGTTACACCTCACGAGGATGGGGAAAGGGTCCTTTGGAGATGCTCTAGCGAGCTTCGTCCGGAAAACTTTGAACTGAGTCAGGGGGCGTTCAGGCCCCCCAGGAACGTGTCTGCACTGGGCAAGTGTAGGGGAGGATCAGGGCGCTGGGAGCAAGGTTTTAGAGATACTGCAGGGACTGACAGGACTCCTTCAGAGAGGGGCCAGGTATTAGGGAGGATGGGAGGAAGCAGGAGGCTGGGAACTCCAAGGGAAGGAAGCGGTGGGAAGGAGTTGAGGTGCATGTACACCAATGCTAGGACCATGGGAAATAAGCAGGAAGAGCTTGAAGCTCTCCTGGGAATAGGATGGTATGATCTGGTGGGAATCACAGACACTTGGTGGGATTAAGGGCAAGTCTGGAATGTGAACACAGAAGGGTATCACCTTTTTAGAAAGGACAGGAAGGGAAAGAGAGGTGGGGGTGTGGCTTTATATGTCAGGGAAGGGATATGATGCAGTGGGTTAGAATGCAGCACAGATGGGGATTCGGTAGAGGCAGTCAGGGGGGAACTTAGGGGTTTTGACAGGGAAAGAAACCTGACAGTGGGGTATGTTATGGCCCTCCAGGTCAACTTGAGACCCTGGATGATGTCCTGACAGGCCAGATTCTAAGGATATCTCAGGGGAGAGACACAGTAATTATGGGAGATTTCAATCTCCCGGATATTACTTGGAAGACTCACTCGGCGGTGACAGCCAGGTCATGTCGCTTCCTAGAAGCTATTGAGGGAGCGTTTTTCACACAGAGGGTCCGAGAGGCAACGAGGGGGGGAAACTTCCTTGACTTGGTCTTGACCAATAGAGAGGACCTGATAGATGAAGTACAGATTAGGGGAGCTCTGGATGCGAGTGATCACTCCATCCTTTGCTTTGAGATCAGGGGACTGCGGACGGGCAGCAGGTCGAGCACTAGAAGCTGGGACTTCCAGAGGGCCAAATTTGGCCAACTGAAGGCCAGACTGGGGAAAGTCTCCTGGGATAGGTTACTGGAAGGTAAGCGAGTTGAGGAGGAGTGGATGGCACTCAAAAGGGAGGTTTTGGAGGTGTAAGCCTTGACGATACCTCTAGCCAGTAAGGTGGGGAGGCAGGGGAGAGTGCCACCATGGATGCAAAAGGAGGTTGTTAGAGGGATTAGACGAAAGAGGAACCTCCGTAGGAAATGGGTACTGGGGCAAATAGACAAAAGGGTATACTGGGAGGAGGAGGCCCATTGCAGGAGGATTCTTCGCAAGGCTGATTACGAGCTGAGACTTGCCAAGAATATCAAGAGCAATCAAAAGGGCTTCTTTCAAGCATGTAAATAGAAAGAGGAAGGGGAGACAAGTGGTGGGACCACTAAATGAGGAAGGAGATCCAGTGACTGATATGAGGGAACAGGCACAGATACTAAATGACTATTTTGACAGCCACACAACACAGCTTCCGCAAAAACAGGTCCTGCCAGACAAACCTTGTGGAATTCTATGACAAGGTTTTGCGATGGCTAGATGGAGAGGATGCAGTGGATGTGGTACACCAGGATTTCAGCAAGGCCTTTGACAAAGTGCCCCATGATATCCTGGTGGAGAAACTGAGGAGTTTTGGGATACACCAAAGCACTGTCCGGTGGAATAGGGCATGGTTGACTGACCGAAAGCAGAGGGTAACCATTAACGGGGAATCATCTGGATGGTGGCCAGTGACAAGCGGGGTCCCCCAGGGCTCTGTCCTGGGGCCGATCCTGTTTAATATTTTCATTAAAGACATGGAAGAAGGGGTGAACGGTCTGCTGATCAAATCGCAGATGATACTAAAACTGGAGCAGTGGCCACAACAGAGGAGCAGGTACTCCAGATCGAAAAGGATCTAGACAGAGTATGGAAGTGGGCAGGAGACAACAGAATGGCGTTCAATATGGATAAGTGCAAGGTCTTGCACTTGGGGCATAGGAATAGCTGTCATAAGTACAGGTTAGGTGATAAGTGGCTGGAGAGCAGCACTTGTGAAAGGGACCTTGGGGTACTGGTTGACTGCAGGCTAAACATA